AGAGGGGAGGGGAGGTAACATTTCTGTTTGTAGAATGCAAACAATTTGCTGAATAATTATTCTAGGTGTATACAAGATTTGCGATGTTTCTTATAGTTACAAAATTGTGACTATTCTCTACTAAAACAATGAATATAAGCTAGAAGTGTCAATTAATATAAACATAACATAGTTTGATTGAAGGTATACAATAGCAGCATGATTAATGGATTTAATGTATGCCAATTTCACAGTTTATTTAGCGGAAAAGTATCCTAAGTAATCTGCTTGAATTTAAGGAATTATCTGTAATTTCAACAGATCATGTCTTTTACCGTCTTTTACATATCCGGAAATCAGTTTACGGTTCTAGTAGAAAAAACACGCCCTAAGTAACGTAGTTCTTGTCCTTAATTTTTTTAACCTAAGTAAACTATGTAATTTCTTATCCAAGTATTATTTCTCCAAAAGGAAGAGAGGCTTTTATTTCCATTGGTTTACATGTTTATGTTTTTGCCTTTCAATTCGCCACAATTTAAAGAATTCAGACTTGAAATTGGGATCTGTGGAGAAAAGAAAAGTCGTATCTCGATTTTGTATTACTAAAATTTAATTAGCTAGCCTCATTATCACAATGAACATAAATCTTTTGATTATTCTGATTGGGCATATAAGAACTAGTTCAATAAGTATAGGATAAAGTTAAAGAAGATAAGCTTAAAATCTCTATCCACAAGGTTTATTATAATCTACATGAAATAATTTAAAAACGTTAGAAACATCAGTCTGCACTTGAGTGCCATTAAACTTTGTTTTTTTTAAATTATTGTCGAAAGACATGATCTCCTGTATCGTTTCTTCAATATTGGTATAACGAACCGTTGCTGTTTATACAGAATAAAAAATTAATAGCTTTTATCGATATTATTCTCATATAACCAATCTTGAAATTTCTCACAAGAGTTTTTTCCGAGAATATCCAATAACTTTAAGAATAAAAATTGGCAGTTTATGAAGTTGTTGGAGGAATAACGACCAGATCAACAATTTTCTGTATACTCTGGGTACTCATTATTTCAAGAATTCAGCCATTTTATCAAACTTCTTAATGTAATTCACATTATACCAATAAACAGATACATCATCATTATACTTTTATTAAGATTTCGTTTGTTTATTTCAATGGAATAACGGGACAAGAATCCTGGAGACATTCTTTGATATTACGAAGTGATAATGATTAGGCACTGTTTTTAGAAATAGGAAATTATCTTTATTCTGGGACTAGGTCCCTTAAGAATAACAATAGTGTTTATATAAATTAACAATAAATGTGGCTAAAAGACCTATTACAATAAAGAATAACTAAAATACAAGTAATAAAATTAGTATATACATAGTTCTTAGGATATATTAACTGAAACAGTTGGGTAATTGGGTTGCAATACTACAATATTGGAGCGAAAACAATAACATGATAATAACTAAATGAAATTATAAAGGAACGCTAAATAAATTTTATAGGCACAGCATTGTAGTGATCGAACATAAAAATTTAAAAAAAATAACTATGGTTAATAAATGACTTACATATGTTTCTTAAGATGTTTATTTGAAAACGTATAAAGATTAGGAGAAGAAAATAAAAAAATATATATTTACACACATCGAGAGGAATGTGTCGAAGGTCAGTAGAAAATAAAATACATTTCAAAGAAATATAATCTCATGAATAGGAAAAGTAGAAGTTAAGAAAAACAAGTTGTTCCTACTCACATTGCTTTGTGATGAAAAATCATGTTCAACACAGAATAAAAAAAATAATGCATAAAGAAAATTAAATCCTTATTACATAATAAATATTTAGCCAGCGTCTGATTGAATTGTGAAGATAAATTGGAATAAGCTGGTTTTAAATGTGGATGAGGATGATGCATGGCGGATTTTTAGTGCGATGGAATTCCAGAATGAAGTGAAAGTAGACAACAAAGGGATGTTTAAATGAGACAGATCTGTGAAAAAGGATATAAAGGTCAGAAGGACGAGATCTTGTGGAGAGGGTGTGGATAGATGACTTGAATTGTAGGAGATTGTATGCATAAGACGGACGATGATTATTGATTATTTGGTAAAGGAATGTGCCTTGGAAATATTGTCTTTGGAAGGAGGGAAAGAGCTATCCTAACTTAGCATAGTGGTGCGAAACGCGGGAACGTCTCAATGTCCCGGTGACAAATCTTACAATGGCTATCATAATTCTTTTTAGTCTGTCACCGAGTTCCGCCGAGAGACTACCGTATACCACGCAGCCGTAATCAAAGTGAGGGAAGATAATAGGAGTCTACGTGTGGAATCTTTCCAAGGTACCAATTGACCGTCGGAAGATGTGTCCAATAGGGTGTTTCCAAGAGAGGGTTTGGTCTATGAAAATACCTAAGTTTTTTTACTCAGGAGGTGAAGGTGATGGGATGGTCGTTTAGGTACAGGAAAGGAATGTGGGTATTGGATCTGAGAAGGGGTTTGGAACCAATGACAATGGCTTTTGGCAGCGTTTAATATTAATTCATTTAAGTTTACCCAAGCACTGATCCGATTCAAGTCTTCTTAAATTTCGGCAAACGCATCAGGGATAGAAGGAAAGGTGAATTTGGGCATTCTGGGCATAGAGGTGATCGGAGCAGTGAAGGATTGATGTATGAATGTAGTTGATATAAGAACTATCATCAAGAGGAGACATGCTAAAGCCCTGGGCCACTCCTGAGGGCAGAGTAAGATAGGAAGACAAGGGTTGATTAGGGATACTGACAGCTTGTAAGCGTTGAGAGAGGAAAGATTGAAACCACAGGATACAACTATTGGAAAAGGATAATGATTTTAATGTGGAAAAGAGGATGGGGTGGTCAATGGTATCTAAGGCTTTGGAAAAGTCAAGGAGTTGGTTTTTGCCATCTATGGCGGACTGAACATCACTAATGATTTTGATTAAGGCTGATTGTGTGGAGTAACCTGGTCGGAAACAAGATTGTTAAGGGTCAAGTTGATTGGACTTTTCAAGGAAGTTGGAAACTCGGGATTGCGCTATTCTCCCCATGGATTTCGAAATGTTATAATGAATTGAGATTGGCCGGAAATCTTCAGAGGAACACGGATTAGAATTTTTATTTAAAGGACGGTTTTTTTCCTCAAGGTAGGGAATACTGAATTTTGAAGGGAGAAATCATAGATGAAAAGGACCACAGGAAGGATTTGAGGGAGGCATCATTTGATTAATGCCATCTGGACCAGTAGAATTAGAGTGTGATTTCATCACTTCGGATATGAGGTCTATGGGAGAAATATCTGAAAAGTAAAAGTCGTCGTCATTGAAAGACGTTCCAGAAGAAAAGAAGGAAGAGGTAAATGGATGAGTTGAAGGGGAATAAAATAAGAATTTAAATCATTTGGTGAAACTGGGAGCACTGAAGAGAGAGGGGATCTCCTCGCTGAGATATATACGATGGCAGTCATTTTCCTGCCAGCCGATTTTTCCGCGTCGAGAAGTTCCACTTAACTTTTCGTTTCTGCACCAGGTCGTCCCTCACTGACTGCCTGACAAATCGTGCGATGACGGGCGGTGGTCGCGGGTCGTCCTTCATGGTCTTTGGCGCTGCACAGAGCCCAAGTCATCTATAATGAGTTTGATTCATATTCCTGCCCTAATACTTGTAACCAGGGCTGCGGGTGTTTCACCCGCTCGACCCGCAATACTCCGAAACTTGAGCGATCTACTAAGAAGGCCTTGCTCAGCATTATTTAGCTTGGCCTCTAATTCACCCACCTTAGACTTGAGGGCTTTC